AAAAAATAACACTAGAAGATAAATTTTTATGTGAAAAAATCTTAAATGGGGAAAAGCACGAGTGCTAGCCCATTCGAAGTAATCTTCTATGTAATTGTAACTACATAGGTCAACTTTTATCCAGAATTAGAGAAGATAGAATTAGACTGCAATTAAAAATAAATTATAGTGATTTGTAAATAAAGCTATAAAGGTATTCCCAAGAGATTCTAAAATTCCCTTATAATTTTATGTGCAAAGTAAAGAAAAATGATGGGTGATAATATGAAACATTCAAAGGAGCATAAAGCTTTTATATTTTTCTAGCACCACAAAAATGCCCATCATGGGAGCATGATAAACTTTTAGAAGCTTGAAGATACGACTTCTACACCCTTAATTTCTTCAACTTCTACATACTTAACTTAATTAAGCTTACTTAGTTCTGCTCATGTCTGAAAAACTCAACTCTCTTGATTATGCATAACAAGTATTTTGATAATGTTATTCTTACTTTCTTTTTATTGAAAGAAGAAAAAAATGAAATGAGATAATAATAATAAGGATAAGAACATATAAAGAGAGTTTATGATTAGCTCTCAAAAGAGCCAACCAAAACTTAAGCTAACAGTGAACTAGTGACATCAAAATAAGACCAAACGAATTATTATAGCATATACTCAAAAAGTGCACAGAAAGAAAAGGAAACTAAGCTAATATAACTAATAGGAGCAAAATAGAAATAATGTTGGATAACTCTTCGTATGAAAGTTTCCAAACATAAGGATATCAACATTAAAGATCTTCAAAAGATATTCTTCAGGCTGGAAATGCCTTCTTGATTTTATAAATTGGTAATCATGTGTAGACTCATTCATGCACTTTCATTTATACAATCGATTGACTACATCTATAAAGATAATATGTTGATTTGTTGTCTCGTTGTACTTTTTCTTTTATCACTATAAGCTCTAGCCAGTACTTTCTAAATTTTTGTTTGAAAATTTAATGTTCTTGATTTTTGTGAAGAAATTAATAACTTATTTCCTTTTATTAACAGAGAACATAGACAACCCGTAAGACATAAATAAGTAAAATATATATCAAAATGTAGATACCTAACAACAATTAAATTAGCAAAACCAATCCTAAAAGTGGCATGAGAACTCTAGTTCTTGCACCCAATACATCTCTACTTCCAGATAATATGGGAGCCAATAAAGTGCCTTGAAGAAAATGAATATGGCTTAGGAATATATAATTTCCTTCTCAAGCTTCATATTGATTAGCCTTACTCTTGCTCAATTGAATGAAGTGTACACTAAAAATGTGCCAGTGATGATCCTAAGGATATAAAGGTCCAGAGAAGAAGAGTGTGACGAATGAGGGCCCACTGACAGAAAATCATGAGGCCCACTTATATGACTGAGTGCAGTAGTCTGAGCCAAATCCAGCAATGTTGAAGTCTACCAAGTCACAAAAGACAACTGAAAGGTCTGAATCCAAGTCGTTCAGTCAAAAACAAGACAAAGAGACATCCAAGTCAATTGACATAAAGAAGTTGATTCGAGGGAAGACCTATCCCCTTAGCATCACCAATCAAATCGAGGATGTTTAGAAGTTCTGACATATATTTCCAAAGTTAACATCCAGACTTACTCTAACAATTGAATCGATCTCGCCAAACAGAAGCCAATCAAGCTCAGTCAATTGAAAAATCTGACTAAGGCTAGCTGACTGAACTCGTCTTGTCGAGTTGAAGCCAAACAAGCTCAGTTGACCGAGCCAAAGAACAGTCGAGCAATAGACTCATACCTATAAAATAACAGGAATATCCTTTACAACTCCAATCAAAGCATGAGCAATAATGTAACATCATAATGGTGTACTCTCTCCCCTATAAATAGGAAGATCATTTTATGAACAAGGGATAAGCAAATTAGCCAAAAAGGATGTGAAAAGTAAACATGATTGATATAATTTACCATTCATTATTGTTCACTCTTGTCTCTGCATCCCTCTCTCTCTTCATCTATCTTTCTTCTTTCTTACACTCTATTCTTTAGGGTGTGATTCACGGGAAAATAAGGATTCAACATGCTAAAATGTGCGGTGAGCATAGATCACACCACAAATAAGAAGGGTAGCCCACTGAAAAGAAAGCCACAATAGAGACACTGACAATATGAAGCACACCAGAGAGTTTGTGAACTATCAAATATAGTAGTTGAAGAAGCACATGTTGGATGCCATCGATACACACTAGATTGGGGAAGAGAGCATTACACCCGAGAGAAAGGGCTAACACCCAATGACCATGAGCCCCCCAAGCCCTAAAAATAGGAGACTCTCAGTACTTTGATAGTGCTAGGCCCCACACCAAAAATAGTGCCGACAACATATTAAGGCACCCCAATAGCCAGAGAATGCATTCTCTTTGCAAATTTCTAAAGCGAGCTCTTGGAGGTTAAAAATCTCGGCATTGAAGTTTTATAAGGTAGGACCAATCTGACTAAGAACATAGCTTCGTTTGAGTTGATTGAGTGTCTGTTGAGGATCACTGACATGTTGAAATATCGTCTCTTCTTTACTACACTAAGGGAGTTAACCCTCAAGTGGTTCAATGCATAATCGTCAAGAGTGATCACATTTTAATTGTTTTTAAGTGAATATTTGTAGCACAGTTTGTCAGCGGCTAAAGCCTCAAAAAATTTGCAGGCGCCCGTCCTACAGATCCGACAAGGATAGAATGAGAGCCTCCATTCATTCATCATACGCTTCTAGAAGGACATGTTAGATTCTCGGAACTTGGGGCTCGTAGTAGCTCTGACCGCCCTAACACAAGGGCTAACAAAGGACCCTTTCAATATGCGTTAGGCTTACAATGACCGAAGATGTTAGCCAAGCTGTTAGAGCTGGCCAAAAAACACATATCAGCTGAGGAGTATAACTCTACCTCTCTTTCTTCTAGAATATAGTAGATGTTAGCCAAGCTGTTAGAGCTGGCCAAAAAACTGTAGAAGAAAGGATGCCACCACAAGTTGTCTGTAGAAGAAAGTCCCCCAAGGAAAAAGGTGGAAACTGAGGCATGATTCACATACATCTACCTATCATTGTTACAAAGACACTCGAGCATCTTAAGTCGACCAAAAAACATACAATCAAGGAAGTCAGGCCTGATATCCTGACCAGTGTCCAGCTCAGTACATTGAGCTCCTGCTACCCAACCATGAATTATCCAAGATGACTCCTTTGAGAGTTTGGTTGAGATAGTGGAGGCCATCCAAAATAAAGATTACTTCAAGAGAGTGCTTTCGATGAAAACCAGAGCTTACCTCCAAGGCCCCAAGAAGTACTGCACTTTCCATCGAACCCATGACCATGACACAAATGAATTTCAACACCTCTAAGGCTTGATCGACGAGCTCATCAAGGATGTGAAGCTTAAGGAGTTTGTATCTCTAAGAGCGACAACCTAATGACAAGGGAAAGTTTTGGTAGAATAAATATTGGACGAGCCAAATCCGAGTTCATGCCATCCTCATATTTGGCATAGGAGGTGGAAACTCGTCCCATCAAGCTAGCTTAAAGAGGATTTAGTCACAAGAACTATGTGCAACCAATCTCGCTCCCAAATGCAGCTTGCATCCTCCCATCACCTTCACCAATCAGGATTTGTCCCCTAAGAGGAATCTCTACAACTATCAGATTGGTAATATCATTATCCACACTGACAGCTCTGTGAACATCCTATTCAAATAAATGTTCAATAAGATGAGTCTAAAAAATAACCGGATGACTGCGGTAGCAGACCCACTCCATGGTTTTTATGACGAGAGGAAAGAAGTGATTAGAACCACCGCTCTGCCAGTCACTTGAAAGAAAATGATGAACAATTTAGCAAAATGGGGAACTTCCCGGTGGTTGCCACCCACTTATAATGCCATTTTTTATTATTCACTGCTCAGCTCCTTCATGGTCATTACCTCAGCTTATCTTGTGACAGTGAAGTTCTCAAGGGACAAGGAATTAATTACTGTCAGAGGTAATCTCGAGTAGTCTAACACCTGCTACCTTTGGACAGTCGAAAGTGTCAAGTAGGAGTCGCTTGAGCTCAATGACCTACACAAAAGGGGTCTCGAGACCAACAAAATCACCCCATCAAATCTCGGTGGCCTAGGGCAAGCCCAATAATTTTTTTCAAGTAAGCAAATCTTTTGATGTCGTATCAAAAGATATGCTGATCAATACCCTCCGGAAACCTTAACATATTTTCACCTAGTTCGGCATCGACATGCTAAGGATATTGATCGATGCCACATGTCATCGCTTGAACGTTAATCCAGTGACTCGACTGATGAAGTAGAAGATGAGGTACTCGACCATCACTCTAAAAAAGCTGAATTGAGAGGAGGTTTAGAAACTACTAGAGGCCTGTTACATACGAAGTGCTAGTATTCGACGTGGGTGTCCAACGAGGTTATGGTCTACTGTGGTTAGATTTGTTCATTCGTGTTTGACTTATTTTGGTTCAAAATTATATATATATATAT